AGACTCTGTTCTGTTTTCTCAGCCTGATCCAAAGCAGCAGACCATCTATGACCTTTTCCAGAGGACCTTCTCTGAGAGCAGAGATGATGCTGATGATGCTTTGCTTTTGGAGGCAGCTGATGCTGGCTGTGAGTTTGATTCTGACAGTGTCTTGCAAGATAAAGAAGCAAAAACATGTTCAGCGAGTCCCAGAAAAAAGCGGCGTATTGAGGAGTTTTTTAAAGTGTAATGGTGACAGCAAAAGAGATGGCAACTAAGAGATCTTTCTTATTAAAAAAGAAAAAAACCAATCAAGTTTTATTTTTCAGTTTTCAAAAATAAAAAACTTTTAAGTTTTCTGTATCTCTAGCATGTTTCATCTCAAACAATGAGAAGGCAGTCTGACAGATGTGCAGTGCACACCTGGCAGCCTGCAGGTTTTGCAGTTCGGGTTTGCTGATGACTGAATGGCCATGGGCAAGTAGCATGCTGCTGTGTTTCAGCATGTTGGCTTCCACAGTTGTTTGGTTTAAAAAGCAGGTAACAGTTGTCTGTCCACAAGGCAGAACTGTTGTGAAAACTCCTCAGCAGCTGTAGAGTGCTTTTAACAATGTCTTCCATCTCCAAGAGTTCTAGCCTGTGCTTATATGAGTTGGTTCACCGGCAAACTTAGTTCCTACTTGGGTCGCTCACAAAGTGGCTTTCTGATATTCCATTTGGCCATGAGGAAAAAAGATCCAGACAGATTTTGATGTTTTGTGGATGTGGGGAAGACAAGGCAAAAGAGCAGTTGGTACCTTGAAACTAAGCAGTATAACTGTATGCCAGGAAGTGTGCATTGCCTGATAGGCACATCTGCCTGAGCACTCTCATCTCTGACCTCATCTGCTGAATCTTAAGAGCTGCTCCATGGCGTGTGCTTCTTGTGTCAGTAGGAATAAAGCTTGTGCTAACTGCCAGGGATTAAGTCTGGCTTCTCAGGGAGGGGGTGTGAGTTTTCTTCAAGACTCAAGACTAATTTCTACAGGTGAGTGAGGAGAGGGGGACATGTGCAGAGTTTTGCTCTTGTTTTGTAAGACGCTGATTCTGGACTAAACTGTTTAAATAAAAAGTTTTTCTTAAATTGTGGTTCCCAAGCTTTTGATACTTTTTCTGTTTTAGCATTTCATCTCCCATTTGGACCTTAAGCTTGAGAAGTATGTGATGCAGTGGAAGTATTAACATTTTCTTAAAAGTACTTACAATGTCTGAAAGATATGTCCTTTTTATGCTTTCTAAAACACATCAACTTTCAGATGGGAAACTCCCATGATACTTTGCTTATAGGTGAATCAAGAGTTACTTCCATAAGATGTTTAGGCTGGTATCCTGGGACCTGTTATTTGCTCCCATTACAGCTCTGTGCAGGTTACACTAAGAATGCCAAAAGCAGCACTGTTGTTTGATGCAGTGATTAAAATGCCTTTTTTTGATCTGTTATAGTCTCTACCATGCTCTCAGCCCTGTGAACTGGGATGCCTGACCTCCCAGCCTCAATGGCACCTGAGCAAACCTGGTCTTTGGTTCCTTTCAGGAGCTTGTGACACAGTTGCTGTCCCTTGGGCATGGCCTGATTCCACTTCACAGAGGTGATGCCTCTGCAAAAACTCTAGAGGCCACTTTTGATGTGGGCTTGATGTAAAAGCAAGTGGCTTTGTTTATCACAACTAGTATTCTTAGGCATCTCTGCATAGTTTTTATTTTTTTTGTGTGTATTATTGCCAGGGTGGTGTAGCATGATCCCCAGATTAATGTCTTTCATGCTTCTGCTCTTAGTCCTAGAAGATACTTGGAAATGGGCTAGTGTTAAGCCAATGTGACCAGGGAGTACAGGAGAAGATATAATTTCACAAATGTATCAGTTATCTATGTTTTACAGCCATAATCTCTAGAGAAGTATGGGGGGAAAGCAAACTGAAGGCTTACACTTAGCTCCTGGAGGCCGGGAGCTAATATGCTGTGCAGGTGGCATGCTTGGCTCTGTGCAGACACTGACAAAAAGATCTCTCTTCCATGGCAGAGGAGAAGAATGTTTGTGCTGCAAGATCAACCTGGTAATAGTAGATATTTTTTCCTGCATTGAAGAGTTTGATTATTCCATTTGCAGCAATTGTCGTCATGGAAATGCCCCACAGGCTGCGTATGCAGTTGTGCTGGGTGGAGAATTGCTTTTCATTCATGACTGCAGAAGGTGCTTTGGGGTGTGAGAGCAGCAGTGAGGGTTGTGTGACTGGGCTACTGGAGGAAATGCTTTATCTCTGGGTTTGAGACTGAGAGCTAAACATCATTGCTCTTGCTTCAACAGCTGGCCAGGAAATAAAGATACTTTCTGCCATTTTTAAATGCCTGTCATCTTGAACACAGAGTATTCAATCTATTTCTACTTGCAAAGTGGGTTGTTGTGAGTAAGGGGTGAGAAATGCTGCTGTCTGCTGACTGAAAAAAAAATATGGAAGACATTATTTGTATACCCATATTGTTTTCTCCTATAGGAGTAGTTCTTTTCCTCTTTGTAAAGCTACAACTATTTCAAAACAGTATTTTTTTGAAATATGCTGTAAGTACCCTTGGAGAATTCTGCTTCTCATGAACTCTATTTATCTTGTCCATATGTTGATAAATCCCAGCCTGTTAGAGGAATGCTAGGTGTACTCTTCCTTTGCTAGGACCCATAAAATCTCAGCTGGTTTGCTGCAGAGATACAGAGGTTTTTTTGAAGTACACTTGAGATTCGCTTTATCCTTACTAGATGAAAAAGGGGAGAAGAATCTTGCAGGAAAGTGCTTTTAGTGATTACTTCAAGGAATTGGAGAGACTGTGCAAGCCTTATCCCGACTGCACCATTAGTCCATCATTAATATGGTGAGGAGATGGCTGGGCAGCTGCCAGCAGGCTCAGACAGGATCTCCAAGGCTTGCTGAAGAGACCTTGTACAAGGTAATGTGCAGGCTGACAGACCCACAGGCAGACTTGGGAACATGCAGCACTCTTGGGGACTCTTGCACCTGCCCATTGAAGATGACACAGCTTTTTGGCATTATCTAAAGCCCAGCAGAGGAAAGGGAAGGACCCATCTTACTGGACCTTGGAGCATCTTGCTGTGGCTGGACGCCTGCTTGTACATCTGCATCGTGTTCCCACCCACACTGGAGAAAGGTGCGTTTTCAAGAAGGACGCCAAACCAGGAACAACAGGTAAAAATACCTGAACAATAAGCTGGAGCAGTTCAAACTAAATCTCCTACATGTCCCACGCTGGCCATCTTCATGTGCTGAAGAGTTCAAGGCAGTGGACTATCAAAGTAAAGCCAAGCTGGCCTGTCTGCATCCATTATCTTCTCAGTCACTTGGAAACTGTGCTTACTCTGGCAGTGCTGGGAATGGCTGTCATCCGAGGGGGCTGGGTTTAGTTGTTGCTAGAGCTGTCTGTAACACTGGTAGATGAAGGGTATGACCATGCACTATAATCTCACAGAAAACTTTTAACTCTGTAGATACAGACCGGAGAATAGCAGTAGATTCTCTGTCCTGGATGTGTTGGCTGACACTTTATATTTTTTTAACCATATCATCCCTAAGCAGCCAAAGGAACTTTTTACTTTCTTCCCCCCTCCCTTTTTTTTTTAATCTTCTAATACGTCGGTATCAAAGCTGTATCCTGTGAGTCATCATTATGATGAGGATCTGAAAAGGGCAAATATATTCCTAGGATATATCAAATGAGATTTTGACTCAACACAGGGAGATATAAATACTGTTGCCTAAAGCCCTGCTGAGCCCTCATCTGGAACATGGCTCTGGCCTACCAGCTCCCAGGAGAAGAGCTTACGGGGATGATCAGGGAATGGGGAGCCCGGCATGAAAATTAAAACTATGAGTGTTCAAACCCTCAAAGCAAGAGCCAAGAGGGGATGCAGCATCTGTCTGTGAGCATCTCTGAAAGTACAGTCCCCAGCCAGGGAAAGACTAACACAGTGGCAGGGGACACTTGATTCATTAATTCCTTACTAACTAAATAGACTGCAAGTGAAGAGGAGGGCTGTCATGGATCAAGGCAGCCAGGGTGGGTATGGAGCTGTCAGGAAGGGAGGAAAAGCACCTGCAAAAAGCACCTGGAGATGGTTTCTCCAGGTGGACTGGGAAGCTCTGGCTCTTTCCTGGCAGGAAGGGATGAGCTATAGCTGGATCTTACATTAAAAAGCTCTTGGGCTAACTAATTACATTTCTTAATGGAGGTTAATGGGTTGCTAATCCTCATATGAGCGTTGCAGCTCACTGGCATTGGTATGTTTTGCTGACACCACATTTTGGTGCTGGTGGTGGAGATGCCTCCAGTTCCCCAAACACCTGGGGGTACTGTCTGGGTGCTGAGAGCCACCTCTGCATCGACACACAAATGCTTTCAGGGCTGGTTGTCTCAACAGTAGATAACCCAGAGGAAATTAGGAAGTTGCCTTGGTTCCATCAGGTCAGGTTATCTTGAAACCTTTTGGTTTAGGGCTGGTATGTTCCAAGATGAGTATTTGTCCTCACTGATAAATCATCATCATCATCTTTCTGCAGTTCCAGTCAGGTTTTCTGTTCCTGTTTTAATTCTGACATCTACCTACTACTTTCTCTTTAAAAACGAAGTCAGTGAATGTAACTGCCCCATCTCCTATCCTGGTGGGACCTCCCTGGGTGGAAGCCCAGGACTCTGAGCCCCCGCGCTCCATCTCCCTCCGGCAGTGCTGGGGCTCATGGCTCATATACCGCGTGGCTCTCACATTGGGTTCCACAGTGTCACAGAACGAACCACGGGGCATCATCTGGTCCAACCTCACTGCTCAAGCAGGGTCATCCCAGAGCACAGGGCACAGGACTGCATCCAGACAGTTCTTGTGTAGGGCCAGTGAGGAAGACTCCACGACCTCTCCAGGAAATCTGTTCCAGAGAGCGCTCGCCCCTCTTGTTCAGGGGAACTCCCGTGCGGGGGGTGTCTCCAAGAGGGACAGCGGGACCCACCCCGGCCCTGCGCGTCACTTCCGCCCGGACCTGCGCACGGGGATCCTTCTCCCCGTCGGCGCCGGCGCAAGATGGTGAGTGTGGCCGGGGCGCGTCCGCCGCCATCCCCCGCCATCCGCCCCGGGGCGGCCGCTCTGAGCCCGCGGGGCCGGGCCTGGCTCTGCGCCGTGTCCCCCAGCGGGCCCTGGCCCCACGCTGGGCTGCGACAGCGGCGCGCTGCGCTTGGGCGGTCGCGGGGAGGCGGCCCGGGAGCGGAGAAGGGCGACCGGGGAGGCGGCGGGGACAAGCCGGCCCCGGGCCCGCAGCGGCTGCACCGTGAGGGGCCGCGGGGGCGAATCGGGCGGTATAGCGCTCCTGAGAGAGCCGGGCTGTGCTTGGGCCTGGCGGCTGCACTGCCGCCCGAAGGGCGCCGGCAGAAGCTGTGAGGGAGGCTGAGGCTGCGGCAGCCTGGTGTCATTTCCTAACTGCTGCTCCAGTGGAGGGCAGAGAGAGTGATGGGGGACTGGAACATTTCCCTTACGGGGACAGGCTGAGGGGAGTTAGGCCTGTTCAGCCTCGAGGAGAGACGGCTGGGAGGGATTCTCATTAATGTGTATGAATATCTAAAGGGGCGGTGCCAAGAGGATGGAGCCAGGCTCTAATCGGTGGTGCCGAGAATAGACAGGAGACAACGGGCAGAAACTGATGCGCAGGAAGTTCCACCTGAATACGTGGAAGAACTTCCTTGCGAGTGACTGAGCACTGGAACAGGTTGCCCAGTACAGGGCGTGGAGTCTCCCTCACTGGAGATATACAAGAACGATCTGGACACGGTCCTGTACCATGTGCTCTGGGATGACCCTGCTCGAGCAGGGAGGTTGGACCAGATGATCCACTGTGGTCCCTTCCAACCTGACCCATTCTGTGAACAGTCACTTTTTACAATGGGGGCGGGAGGCAGCAGCCCCAGTTTAGGTCACTGCTATGACAGGAGAAGGAAGCAGCTGAGGAGATGGCAGTCTCTGTAAAGTTGAAGCTTACTGTGGTTTGCCTCCCAACAGGCCAAGCGCACCAAGAAGGTCGGGATTGTGGGTAAATATGGGACCCGTTACGGTGCATCCCTTAGGAAAATGGTGAAGAAGATTGAAATTAGCCAGCATGCCAAGTATACCTGCTCCTTCTGTGGCAAGGTGAGAGATCTCCTTACCTCGAAAAAATCTTTAAGAATCACATTGTTTCTGGTGCTAGAAAGGCAATTTGATGCTTCAGGAATTTTTGTACAAAAGGGATAACATGACTAGTGAGGGATAACAGTGATTAGTGTATAGTGAGCTTTGGCCTACTGTCAGAATCCATGAAAAAGACAATAATATACATTTTACATGCATGTTTAGTGGTAGTTAAATGAAAACAAACATAAATTATGTTTCATTATGCAAAAGATTGAGCAGCATTGCCATTACATCTCTAATAAAATAGATCTGACAGAATTAAAGCGTCACACTTGTTATCTTGATAATTAACACATGATTTGAGCCTTTATTTTCCTTCAGTAGCTTTACAGCATACCTGGAGAAGGAAGAGAGCTTGCTTTTTCCCACTTAAAACTCTTGATGGCAGTTGCATACTTTTGTGTGCTATATAACTGTGGAGGGGGAAGAATTTCTGATAAGCAGTAATCTTACCTGGTCATGTACATAATCAAAATTCACTGTTAAATCTGGTTTTCAACAGTTTAAGAGGCCCATCAGCTTGTGCTTTGCCCAGATATTTTTTTATTGTTATCTGTAGAGTAGATATCTGTAAGTGGCTGGGAATTTAAAAGTATTTTCATCAGAGTTTTTTTTTGGGGGGGGTTGGTTTGTTATTATTTTTCTGTGTTGTTTTTTTTTTAACTTGGTATCTTTGTCATGTGAAGTGAGAATGTTGATAACTCCCTTTGCAGAGCTGCCTACATCAGGCATAGGTCTAGGCAAACCTGTTGACACCTTTGCAAGGTGAGGGATACTTGCCCAGGAGAGAGGAGTTCAAGACCCACCACTCACTCTTTAGATGCTGTTTGAAGGGTATCTGGTTTACAACAATCTTGGGTTGTCCAGAGATTACTGGTAACAGTGGTGTCACATTAGTCACCAAATCCAGGTCAGAGTATCAGTTCCTATGACCAAGGTATCTCACTATTTTTCTCCTTCAAAAAGAGCTGAATTTTTGATGATGCGTTTAGAAGAGACGCACTTTATATCTGAATGAAAGTGTTTCCAGGACTTCCCCTGTTCTGCAGAATCAGAGTAAAAAGATTCCCTGATCCTTGTCTGTCTTAACTAGGCTTGTAGGAATGCTGTGGTGTGATGCTGAAGTCCTCGCTTGAAGTTGGTTGTTTGGCTTTTTCAGCTGATAGAGTGTGATTTTTTTTTTCTCCCCCTTTTATTGCAGACCAAAATGAAGAGGAAGGCTGTGGGTATCTGGCACTGCGGATCCTGCATGAAGACAGTTGCTGGTGGTGCCTGGACTTACAAGTAAGGAAATGAAGAAGCTCCTATCAGCATTTATTCTTGTGTAGCTGAGGCATAATACAGCTTTTGATTTTTTATCTTTTTTTTAATTTTAATCTACTGACCATTAAGGAGATCTGTGTTGAGTTAGTGACATGGGAGGTGTTGCCTGCTTTGTTAAAATTTGAGTGCAGTGGATCAAATTATATTTCATCGCTATTCTTTGCAATAGGCAAAACCAGATTTACTCCAAAAAAAATTATTTCCATGTTTTCCTTTTGTTGTAAAAGCACTGAATCACTTTTTGTTGTAAAAGCACCCTTATTGTGCAGGTGCTCTTGCTTACTCCCTTTCTTTACTCTCCTTCCCCCACAAAAGACACTGTTGCTCCACATGTAACAGTCGTGAGGGAGCTGAGCCCACACCATGTGCATGTGGTGGGTGCATGACTGGGTAATTTGGGTTAAGATGTAGCCTGTGAAGCTGCATGTGCTTCTGTAGGCCAAGGCCTACGCTTTGTTGTCATGAAAATAGAAGTGGAATTAGACTCCTGTTGACAGCGCAATCAGACGATAACTATTCGAAATGACTTGTGCTTTCTTAGAAAAAAAGATAACACTGGCACAGTTGTTCTGCTGCCACATGCAAATGACTCTGTTTCTTCCTCCAGTACCACCTCTGCAGTGACAGTCAAATCTGCCATCAGAAGACTGAAGGAATTGAAAGACCAGTAGAAGCTACTTCCTGTTCTCCATGTGAAACATCTTATTTTCCCATTGTCAAAATCTGTCCTTTTACCAATAAAAAGGTGATAATGGAGTACAGTCACGTTCGTCTTTTCTGCAGGAAGTTCTGTCTGTTATGTTACATGTGGATCCTGGCTGGATGCCAGGTGCCCACCAAAGCTGCTCCATCACTTCCCTCCTCAGCTGGACAGGGAAGAGAAAATACAAGGAAAAGGTTTGTGGGCTGAGATAAGGGCAGGGAGAGATCTAGTTACCTAGTTACCATTACAGACCTGACTTGGGTAAATTACTTTAGTTTATTACCAGTCATATCATATGATAATGAGAAATAAAATGAGAAATAAAACCAAATGTTGATTCCACTCAACTCTCCCTTCTTCCCAGGCTCAGTTTTTGATTTTTCTCTCCCTCCCCCCCACCAGCAGCACATGGACAAGGAATGGGAACTGCAGTCAGTTCATCACATGCTGACTACACTGCTCCATCTTTTTCAGGAAGAGGGTTCCTCACGCTTCCTCTGCTCCAGCATAGGGTCCCTTCCACAGGGTGCAGTCCTTCAGAAACAGATGGCTCCATTGTGGGTCCCTTCCAGGGGGTGGAGTCCGTCAGGAACAGGCTGCTCCAGTGTGGGTCTGCCATGGGGTCACAAGTGCTGTAAGCAGACCTGCTCCAGCATGGACTCTTCTTCACGGGGGTACAGGTTCTGCCAGGAGCCTGCTCCAGTGTGGGCTTCCTACAGTGTCACAGCCACCTTTGGACATACCCCTGCTCCAGCATGGGGTGCTCCACAGGCTGCAGGTGGATCTCTGCTCCACTGTGGACCTCCATGGGCTGCAGGGGGCCAGCTGCTTCACCATGGTCTGTGCCAGGGGTGCTGGGGAACCTGGTCTGGCATTGTCAGGACCCATCCCTGAACGTGGGGTAACCAAGGTTCTTGTTAATAGATCTTGTTAATAGATCCCTTGGGGTGGCTTAGAATAGAACAACACTGAATGGTGTTTTTAAATATATATATATATGTATATATACGGTTTATTTTAGAACAATTTGGTTGCAATGGAAAGGGGCTATTTAGCTGGTGTGGTTACTATCTATAGAAATGAAACAGTATAAAAGTATAAAGATACTACTTATGAAAATATATAAGAGTAGATAGTGGAGAGGAAAGATACAACCAGCTGTTGATCCAGTAATGGGGCTTGATGCAGTTTAGATGTTGGTCAAAGTGACAGGTCGGGGTTGGGGGGACTCTGTACAACATAAAGTTCAATGGGTTAAGATATGTTTGGGTTCAGGTGGGAACACCCAGGTACCTCCCCTGGAGGTGGGGGTGGGTTTTACACTGTCTGATGTAACACGGTGGATGATGTGCGGTCTCTGGTGCAAGGCCCCAGAAATTAGTCATTGATGGTTTATGACACCTTCTAAGACATGACAGCTGCCTCCAGTTATGCCCCATCAGAAGGGATAAACACCTTCAGGCCTACGTGTTAATTTGAATATCCCAATACCTTCTGGGGGGAAGGTGAGGCGAGGGGTGGTGAGAGCCGTGGTGTGTGGGTGGAAGGAGTTTTACACCTGTGTAAGGAAGGACATTAGCTTGATAAAAAGCATTATCCCAGCTCCACAGGATCTGCTTCTTACCAGCCTTCTCCCTTATCTTCCTTTAGTTTTGTCTGGGTTTTTTTGGTGACTGCAGGACATCTCCTGCAGTCTTAACAATACAGGTCAGAAAACACAAGTCTTGTTAATAACCCTGGTACCTGCTTGAGGAAAAACAGTAAGGAGGTAGCAGAGGGGTCACTTGCTCTTGCTCCAGCTTAAGCTTTAAATAGATTTGGGTGGTGATGAGCTACAGCATTAATAATTCATTAACGAGCCCAAGATCTTCAAAAGATCAATTCAAAACTGGACCTAAGTAGGAATTTTTTCCCAAGCTGTGGGAAAAAATTTCCTAAGTAGGAACTTTTTCTGAGCCAAAAGTCTATGGCTCAGAAGTTTGACTGCGGTGTCTCTGAACGTGTTTCCTAAACTTTTTTTCCTTTTAATTCAGTGCTTCAAAGTTCCCTTACTAAAGTAAATTCATGTATTCAGGTATCTGATGTCATTCCTACCAATCTGCATATCCTCATGTCACCTCCTAACAGGACTTGTGCTGTAACCCCTTCCCTGGGAAGCCAGCTGCAGTGTCTAACCACTCTCTGGGTGAAAAACCTTTTCCTTATATCCAGCCTAAACCTCCCCTGACACAACTTCAAGGCCATTCCTTTGAGTCCTATCACTGGTCACCAGAGAGAAGAGTTCAGTGCCTGCCCTTCCATTTCCTCTCCGGAGGAGCAGGACAGTGTTGTTCTGCTCATTGCTTTTTAGTCTTGATTCGGAGTGCTTGGGTCACATTTTCACGTGCAGAGATGTGACTCTGCACACATCTGTGCTTTCTTCATCGACGCAGAGGTCATAATTGAAGTACAGGTTTCTGATAAAGCTCAACTGCTCTGAAGTAGCCATTCATTGACAGGTGCAGAGGATATGTTTTGCTATGTTGATATCCCAGAGTGATTGCACAGGTATCTTGTCTACGATGACTTCTATTCCTGCTGAGGAAGTTGTTAATTACCCTTTTGATTTATATTCGCAGAGGGCAGAAGCTGGGCAGGGTGGAAATAGGAAGAGAAGATAAGGATATGAGATGATCTTTTTGATCTGGGTTGTGTGGTTCTACCTGCATTGTGGATGGGTAGGCTGCATCCATCCATACTCTGCATGGATGGGCTGTGCCCTCAGACCTCCTGGGCTTGTTGTGCCATGGTGCTCTGGCCTGATCCTCAGCAAAGGCGTTTTGTGTTGGGGAATCTTCAAGGCTGCCAATTCCACCGGTTTCCCCAAAGTGAGAACAGGGAGGAAGGTGGAGGGGCCGGGAGGAGTAAGGATGCTGCGGTCAGAGCACCGGCAATGCTGCGAGCGGCCAGCGGGCGACACTGCCGCTCTGCTGCGCGGTGCTGTGAGGCTGCTGCATCCTTTCGGCTTCCCTTCCACTCGGGAGAAGGGCTCTGCTCACCTCTACACCCACTGTAGCTTCTTAGCTCAGCGCTTCATGCTAACCACCCCCCCTCCCCAAACAGGCCACGGTATTGAATGTAGACTGAAACGGGATTCTGTGACAAAAGACATCAAGAGGTAAAAATAGGAATGGGGAGGTTGGAGATAAGGATTTTGTCTATCATTTATCACCTCTAACAGAACTGAATTTGTGTTAGGTCTCTGTCTAAATGCTGTATATATCGTAGGAGAAATTTTTCTATTGACAATTATGTGATTTGGCCACTTGATCCTCCAAATTTGTTGTTTCCTCTGGGAATCTAGGGTGAAAACAGGAATTCTAAGCAATTTTGCTTACTGCTTTCCATATATTTGCTGTTGAGCCTTAATCAGGAACTTGGATAGAGTTGTCTTAGATGCTGGCACCTGTCCTGGAAGGTGCGAGCTTATGCCAGCATCTGACCCATCTGGATTGCTACAGCTCTGGGAATTGGAGAACAGTTTGATGGAAATGGTGACTTTAAATCTGACTGAATGTTCTGTAGATGTGGCTGTGCAGGTGTGTTGATCTTGGTTGCTTTTGAAGAGCAGGTGGGAAGGGGACCTCTTTCTCAGAGCAATTTGTCAGTCCCATGGGATTTTTCTTTCAGGATCAAGGATGGTAGCTGTAATTGGGGTGGCATTTCAGGTGCCCAAAGGTATGTCAGGAGCCCAAAGGAACTTGGAAATAAAAAACTGAACAAGCACAGTTCAACTCTCCTCATTCTGATTTCTGTTAAGCATTTACTTGTTTCCAAAAGAAAATAATTGCTTTGACTTTACCCCATTTGTGCTTCCTGCTCCCTCCTGCTCACTGACAGCCTGTTTGGTTGGATCATGGGGCACCATTGGTGTTTGTATTATGCCACATATTAAAGACTCTTGGGGCCTGGGGCTCACAGGGATGAGAAACATGAGCCATAGGTGTTGGTTGCCCCTTCCCTGTGTCCTGACTTAAAGGTATTGTGAAGTCAGGCTGTGTGCAGGTGCTCAAATCCTTTCTTAGGGATTTGACTGTAATACAGCCTGACAGTTATAAGCAATAGGCATCATGTTTTGAGGAGCATATCCCAGTGTGATTTCTAACTTTTATGAACAGCAAATTTCTTGCCATTACTGTATGGTCATCTACCCTCCTCCTTGAACACAACCAAAGGCTGCCCATTGCCTTTCTGAGCTACTTCATGCCTCTTCCTCCATGCTGCATCCCAGGGAGATTTCCAATAGCACTTCAGAAACAAGAGTGACTGATGCAGATGAGTCACCTTTCTGGTGTCAATATACTCTGTCCAGGGACAATTTGCTAGGTCTCTCTCTAGAAAGAAAGGAGATTTAGTGATGAAGTTTATTGCTGGCTTTGCATGCACTGGACAACAAGAGAAGCAGCCAGAGTCGGGGAATGATGTGACCACCACTTTAACAGGCTGCAAGTCACCATCTGATTTTATGTATTATCCAAGCTTCCACCTGTTTCTTGCCTCACCTGTATTTTCAGCAGCTCCACTTGGGGAAACATTGCATTACAGAGCTGGTCCAGCTCCTGTGAAAGAAGTGGGCAGGCAACATCTCTCTGCTACTCAGCTGAGCAGCAGGGCTCACAGATTTTCTCAGAGAAATGATTCCTTAAAGGATGCTACAAAATGATTTGCAGTGGCATGAGACTGTGTATTTCCAGCGGCTCAAGGTGACAGGGAGCTGCCTGCTTGAAACTGGCCCCAGTGCTCTGGAAGTGGGCAGAAGTTGCCATCGGTAACATATCCTTCCTCTGAGTATTTGATCTTAGCGGATGTCTTTTGAGGCATGGAGTGTGGCAGAGTTGTGGATATGCCTCAGGTGCCCTTATTAGATGCCTGAATGCATTTTGAAAATGGCTGCTTAGAAAATGTCTAATTGCTATTCCACATATTCAAAAAGTTTTTTTCTCTTGACAAGGCTTTGGCATGCCTTGGATTGCTAAATATACTTTCCTCTTGCAAATTCTTGGCAGGAATCTGTGT